GTGCTAATTGAAGCTGATGTGCAAAGCAAGGAACATAAAAAACATACTTATTATCTCTTAGAATCAAACTTTTAAGCTCATTACATTCTCCTTGCATATTACTTGCCCCATCATTACCTTGTCCTCTTATTCTTGAAAAACATAACTCATGAGTTGCAAACACATTTTCAAGAACATTCATAAATGAAGCAACTGCAATACTAGAAACATGACAAGACACAAAAATTGTTCAAAAACTCTCCCTTTATCATCTACATAGCATAGAACGATAGACATTTGCTCTTTAACAAATATGTCACGAGATTCATTAACTAAAATAGCAAAAAAATCATTTCCAAGATTATCAATAATTGCACAAGTAGTCTCATTAGTAGTTGCGTTAACATTATCTTTTTATATGGTCGGTTCTACAAGTCTAAGATTGCCACGAGCATTTTTTTAAAACTTTGTTAATAGTTTCATTATGAGTAGCAAGAAATTGTAAAAGCTCTAGAAAGGTGCCTTGATTACAAGAATCATAAGATTCATCATGTCCACCAAAAGCCAACCCTTGTCGCAAAAGGAATCGAACACGATCAACCATAGCCGTAAGATGAGTTCGATATTCTTGTTTGGCTAGATAGATTGCTTCGTGATAACAATTTCAACATATTGCTTTTGATTCATTAGAGCTTCACATTTTCTCCAAGCTACATTATGAACACTATTAGGACCTCCAACATGAAGTTGCAATTTGCTATTTTCTTTCCAATTTTTAAATCCATCAACAACAAATGTATCACCTCCCCCTTGCTCTCCTTTAGATTAAGGTCTCATGAGATAACAATGTAAACAAAATATTGCATATTTGGACACACTATATTCTAACCAACTTTTATGTTCTTTGAACGACTTAGGATTGAAACTTCGTAACTTATCATTATACTTCTTAGGGAACTTGTGTTCTTTTAGTTGGCAAGGACCTTTCAACAAATAAGCCCTTCGAATTTTTTCGTGATCATTAGGATGATATTCTATAATCTTTGGTCTTTTTCCTGTATCTCCTTGAAGATTTTTTAAATCAACTTGCAAAAATCCTTTTTTTTCGAACATGAATCATCTGTTGTTGTCTTCCTTTTAAAATATTTTTCCGTACCTAAATAAAAAAGAAATAGAACTAATTCAATTGTGACAATAAAAAAGCACGTAGAATATAAAAAGAAAAAAATGTCTTGTGTGCAATGTCTTCAAATTCATAAAAAGTTCTTGAATTATCATGTTGAAATTTTTAACAAAAAAATACAATAGTGTTATTATTAAACTTTAAAGAAATAAAAATAACAAATAAACTAAGTTGACATTTGGTAGGTTTCCAGATACAAAATAAAGGAATAATAACACTTGGAAAACAACAAAGCAATTCATTGAGACAAACAAAGCAATAAGTTTCCATAGGAAACAATAAGTAATAAAGTCCCATGAGCCATAGAGAAAAATAATGTCCCATAAGGCCATAAAAAACAATAAAGCAGTAAATAGGGAATGGAACAGAAACACAATCGTTTAACCTTCGATGTAATTTGTATTTTTAACATTTCAAGTTTTCAGTCAGTCTTTTACTCCTAATTCCTAAAAGCTCTTAAAATTTTGATCGTGACTGGCTATACATGCAACCAGAGATCAAATCATCAACCATGAAGTCCGTTGTTCACTAATCACTAACACCGTCCAATGTCACCGACATCAGGTAGAGACGTCGGAAAATAAAAAAGGCACCCCTTTTATACAATTTTTTTATGATACACTCTAATTATATGTTAGTTTTTTTTTTTAAAATATTTATACAATTTTCAGGGTGGGTCAATGCCCACCCTCAAGCATATATATACATTCGCCACTGTAAATACCATGATTATTTCCAACAATAACAGTATAATATTGCTTTTTCACTTAACTTCTGAATAGCCAATTCTCTCGTGGAATTGCTTAGGAGCTTTAAGGTTCGGATGTACACAAGAGCATTCCAAGGGTATTGCAAGTGGTTTTCCCATAAGTTCATGCCTGTTCCAACAATAAATCGAGATAGGAAACACCAGTCGCGTACATACAGGATTCAGACCGATCGACGAGGAACAAACAGTGGCATAATAGCCACGGTCGATGACGGTGGCAGCCTGCTCTGTTGCTCGGATACTATTCCGAGACTATAACTCCAAAAAATAATTTTAAGGCTTAATACCAAAATAAGTACCTAAACTATACCAATTGTCATAAATGGATGATTAAAGTATTTTTTGACTCATCACGGTACCGAACGTTACAAATATTATTATTTTAGGTGTCCGAGTACCGTCAACGACATTAATTTCTTCCGTTAAGTGACATATGTCACAATTTGATAATTTTAAAAAAAAATATTTAAAAATTAAAAATTAATATTATACTTAAAATGAAGAAAACCCAAAAATTTTGAATTTTTTTAAAATACCCAAAACTCTGAAAATCCTAATTCCAGCCCCTAATCCACTTAAATTATTATTATTATTTTAAACCCCTAAAATTTATCTAAAATCTCAATAAAGTCCCTAAAATCCCTATCTCAAGGTCGATTACTGCCGTTGCCGCGGTCACTGCTTGCCGTTATTCCTGCCACTGTCGAATACTCACCCTCTGTCATTGGACCTTACTGTCGACCTTCCCCTTACTGTCCTCTCCAGCCCCCTATTTTAAATGTTGCAGAAGAAAGTTGCAGAAGAGTCTCCTTTACCAATTTCCTTGTTTTTAAATGTTTAAGTAATCTCAAGGGAAGGTTGGGAGTTTGCTTCAATAATTTTCTTCTTTTTAAATGGTGTGTCAACTTGCACCAATAATGTACAAAATAGCCATTGAAGAACGGCGTGAACGAGGGTGAGGGGTTGAGTGGCCCCATGATTTTTGGCTTTTTGGGATGGATTATTGCAATTCAAATAAAAGTGAGATGGCAGATATCAAAGGAGGTTGGCTAAGGGTGGATGGCCGATGACGGAAACGGTGGTCGACGATGAGGGCGGCAGCCGACAGTGGCGGCCACGGTTATAGGGACAAGATTTAACGTTTTAAAGTTTGGGGAGGTTTTTAAGATTATAGAAATTTTGGGTTTTTTTATAAACTAATATATTTTAAAGTTTTTTTAAAATAAAATTTTCAAAATTTTCATATTGTAACACGTCGCTTAATTGATGAAATTAGCATCGTTGACAGTTTGAGCACATAAAATGATAACGTTTGTAACGTTGATCTCCAGGATAAATCATCATTTATCTTTGTTTAGTTTTATTTCATGTGGATATTTCATTCATCCCATATATTTCATTTAATATTTGTGACAGTCATAAACCATGCACTTATTTTCGTGTTTTTAAATATTCAAAGGTAATATCGTCTTGCGTCGTGGGTTAACGAAATTATGTCCAACATAACTGTATTTCAATTTCTGTTATTTCTCGTAGTAAAAGAACATCCTTCTTAAATAAAACAGAGTGAATTAAATTACTTTTATTAAATTAAATATTTTAAAAAGAAATTCACTCATTTTTAAATATTTTAAATATTTTGGTAAATATAAAAGAGTAAAACATATACATATAAAAAAGAAATATAAGTGTTTTTATTTATTTATTTATTTTAAAAAACAAGAAATATTAGTATTGCATATTCTATGTTTTAATAATAAATATAATTATATTAATAGTAACATCGTTATGACAAAATATGATTAGTAATTATATTAATATAACATCTTCTATATATATATATATATGAGTTAAGTTCAATTATACAATATAAATTCTTTAGTTTTGTACGGATTTAGGATTGTTGAATGAGTGAAAATAGATAACTGAGATTGACTTCTAATTTTTGTTAGGCTAGAATTTTAGTAAGTCGATGAGTTATTCAATTACTGGATTAAAGATTGTCTAAACTCTACAGATCTAATTTTTATTAGATTTTTAGATAATCTAAAATTAAAATGTAGATGATATGTATCTGATGTAGTTATTTATTTTTTTAAAATATAATTTAAATTAAGTAAAAATAAAAAATATAAATTAAATATTCAAATTTTGGATCAGATTTTTATACACCCTATTTAGAGCATGCATAATTTTAAATTTAAAATATTATTATATTTCTTACTATTTTTATAATTATTTACCTAACAGTTATGTAAAAAAGTAAAATAGTTTTTTACATGCATAATTTTTATTAATTAATTTATTAAAATTCTAAAATAAAAATATAATTAATAAAATACTATAATTATGTACTTATCTACATTTATAATTTTTTAAAATTTTCTTAAAAAAGAAATATTTATATATATAAATATAAAAAATTGAAGTACTATTTTATTTTATAGTTGTTAGATGGAAAATAAATATAAAATTGAACAAAAATTAACAAACATTTGATATTTATAAGATAAAGTATACTCACAAAAATTAATATTATAAAAATAAAATATAAAATTAATCGGAAACATTGTCATCTTCCTTAAAGACTTGAATTTGAATAATAATAATAATAAAGCTTTCATCCAGTGTTGGATGCATCAAGCAAATATCAAGAAGAATATTTTATTTCTAATTTTCAGCAGGAAAATCAATTCAAAAATGGAAGATTAGCACTAAAATCGAACCTCCAAATCTCGGAGTTTCTTTCAAATCAACATCCGAGTCAAACGAATTCCTTTCAACTGACGTGGCTAACCCCTTTTTCTTCTAATTTTAGCGTCAACATTTCAGACTCTGGCTCGCGTGGTCTGCGCCAAAACCTGACCTAAAACCACTACCACACCCACGCGTCACCCTCTCTTTCTCCTCCCCTCCACATCTCTGTCTCTTTGGTTTGGCCAATTCATGTCTTATTTAGCCAAGTTGATGCCTAAAGTTTCATCCTTTCTGCTTGTAAACCCATCACTGTTCCTTTTAATCTCTTATCATCATTCATCACTACCATGAGATCTCAATTTTATAGTTTCTTCAACAGAGCTTAAGCTCCCTTCTCACATGGCTTGTTTGCTCCCACTTTTCTTTCTCTTGATCTCAGTTTCTTCTTCACAACCCACTGAGCTCTTCTTCCCTGGATTCAAAGACTTAAATCCCAACAACTTAACACTTACTGGAGTTGCAGAGGTTGATAAACATAGCATTCTTCGATTGACGAATGACACCAGTCGTTTACAGGGTCATGCTTTTTACAGCTCCCCGTTTAGATTCAAGAACTCCCCTAATGGCCAAGCTTTTTCCTTTTCAACTTCTTTCGTTTTCGTTTCGGTTCCTGAGTATTTAAAGCTCGGTGGGCACGGGCTTGCTTTCACAATCGGTGTTTCTAAATATCTCGAAGCGCTCCCGAGTCAGTATCTTGGGATCCTCAACGCGACTGATAATGGGAACTTCGGTAACCATCTGGTTGCGGTTGAGTTCGACACAGTTCAGGATTTTGAGTTCCAGGACATCAACGACAACCACATCGGCATCGACCTCAACAGCTTGGTCTCGAATGCTTCGGCTCCTGCAGCTTATTTCACCGACGGTAGCACAAAGCAGAATCTCACTCTCAAAAGTGGGAAGCCAATCCAAGCTTGGATTGATTACGATTCGGTTGAAAAAGTCATCAATGTGACCGTGGCACCGAATTCCAGTAGACCCAGATTGCCGATCTTGTCTTTTCATGTAGATCTTTCACCTTTTGTTGAGGAGTTTATGTATGTTGGTTTCTCAGCTTCTACTGGTCTACTTGCTAGTTCGCATTATGTTCTGGGTTGGAGCTTTAAAATCAATGGACAACCCCAAGCTCTTGATCTGTCTTCTCTGCCTAAACTCCCCGGACCACCAAAGAAACATACAGCTTTAACTGTCGGTGTCTCGGTTTCATCTGTCGTTCTCGTAATTATTGCTGCATCCGTCATCGTTTATAGCATCTTCAAGATTAAAAACGCTGATGTGATTGAGGATTGGGAGCTTGAGATTGGACCACAAAGATACCCTTATGAAAAACTCAAGAAAGCAACGAATGGTTTCAGTGACAAGAACTTGCTTGGACAAGGCGGTTTTGGTAAGGTTTACAAAGGAAAATTTCGACATTCAAAGACTGATGTTGCTGTGAAGCGAGTTTCTCATGAATCGAAGCAGGGTTTGCGCGAATTCGTATCCGAAATCGCGAGTATCGGAAGGCTTCGACATCGGAATTTGGTTCAGTTACTAGGATGGTGCAGGAGAAGAGGTGATCTTCTTCTTGTTTATGATTTCATGGCTAATGGCAGCTTGGATCGGTTTTTGTTTGATGAGCCTAAAACAATATTGAATTGGGAGCAGAGATTTAGGATTATAAAAGGTGTTGCTTCGGGTCTTCTTTATTTACATGAAGGCTATGAACAAATTGTGATTCATAGAGATGTTAAGGCGAGTAATGTGTTATTAGATGATGAATTGAATGGGAGATTAGGAGACTTCGGCCTTGCAAGATTGTACGAACACGGTTCGAATCCGGGGACAACTCGGGTAGTTGGCACATTGGGATATCTAGCACCGGAGCTACCCAAAACCGGAAAGGCGACAGCGAGCTCCGATGTCTATGCCTTTGGTGCATTGTTGCTTGAAGTTGCATGTGGGAGAAGGCCAATTGAGCCCAAGGCATTGCCTGAGGAATTAGTGTTGGTTGATTGGGTGTGGGAGAAGTTCATACAAGGGAGACTACTTGATGTGGCAGACTCTAGGCTGAATGGCAAATATGATGAAGGGGAAATGCTGATGGTTCTTAAATTAGGCCTAATTTGTTCAAATGACATGCTCGTGGCACGGCCTACCATGAGTTATGTAGTGAAGTATCTCGACGGAGAGGCCGAATTACCGGAAAATTTGCGGCCACCGATGGCCTTTGATGGCGGCAAAGGTTTCGGAGACGGGTTCGATGCTTTTGTGAATTCATTTGCGTCCTCATCGTGTGATAAAATGAGTTCAAATTCATTCATGGAAACTGGTAATGCTGCTACTAGTTTTGCCTCGCTTTCCACCTCGCCACATCCCCTTCTTAGAGACTAGATAGTGTTTATTAATCCTTTTTCTTCTTTTTTTATATATATTTTCCAAGGGCTGAGCTTGTAAACTATGGGAACATTCAACCAAAGGGACATGGACACTGTTGTTTCACATGTTTGTTGCAAAAAACATTCTCCTTCTGATAATGATTGGGAAAATGTGATGGCGTTAATGATTTTTTCCCCTTCTAGCTCTTATGTCCTCGTATACTTTACAGACATTATTGTCCTTAATTCCAAATTAGTCGACTTAATGTCGTAATCACCATTAATACAGATCTCTATTCCTTCTCTTGTTTTTAGAAAGAATGTTGGGATTCATAGTTGGAAATTGGGCTGCATATTGACCCAAACAACCAAAATTTATAGGTAATTTTAGTAGGGTAGTTTTGATGTACAATAATTTAAATTTAATTTAAGGTCTAAAATATTATTCTATTTAATCTATAAAATTATATAATGTATAATATTTTTAGTTGTAATAAAAAAATATTATATTACGGCGAGAGTCTACAATCGACAAGGTTATATAATTTATAATAATTTCAGTTGCAACATAAAATATTACGAATAATGTAATATTTTTTTATTTCAAATTAAAATATTATCTTTGCTCAACTTAAAAAGTTACATTCTAGATAAAATTTAGTTTACAACTTATTTATGTGTTTTAATCTTATATTAACAAGTTGTATTTTAGATTTTTATAATTTGAGTATAGTTTGGTGGTCTTCATATGGTTAAGGGTGATAATATAATCCAATAGATTTGATTCAATTTAGTATGATAATATATTTTTTTAAAGAAATTAGTTATGAGTCAAAGTTTATAAAAAATTACGTTGAATCGGGTTCAAGTTTAGGATGAAAGATCTCTAATCTTATATGAGGTAACAATATATATATATATATATATATATATATATATAAATTTAGGGATAATTATTATAATATTGATTCTCTCTATTTTTTTAATTAAATTTATATTTTACCAATTAAAATAATATTTTATATATTTGTTGGTTGGAATTGGATATAAATTTTTATCTTAGAACTTAAGTTTGACCGGATAGGTAGAGAGAATATGCTTCTCGAGTTGAATGAAGGGAGTATATGTTTTTCAGATCAAATCATATTCGAATCAAATATATATACTCCTCAAGTTTAATCGAATTAATTAAAAAACCAAATTCAATCCGATTCATTACCATCTCTAGATATGATCCAAAGCAGGAATGGAATCCTTTGGTAGTGGCCTAGTGGCACTGTGGGAGTTCTTGACATTTTAAAAGGCAAATAAGTAGGCAAAGAACAAAGACTCAGAGTTCACCACAAATATCAGTCCAAAACTAAGACTAACCAAATGAACCGACGCTAGAATTATGGCTAAAATATGCAGAAAAGAGAAAGAAGACTGCTGCCCAGAAACATCATCTAGGCTTTTTGACCATTCTTTCAGTACTTGGCTGCATTGATGTGGGATACTAAAACAATATCTCAAGGGACCACTCGCATCTTGTCTTCTAAGACCATTCTGCAGAAATTTCTGACTTTCCTCCCCCATATAAACTTTCATTTTTCCATGTCACCTACAACAAGACAATCCATTTTAAAATTTAGGTCAGGAAAGGCTACCGGTCTAGGGTCATGCATATCACAAACCATAGAAAAGACTACCACTATAAGCAAGACTTGTATCTCTTTCAAATCTTGTTTGGAGGCTACACTTCTACTTTCTTTCCTCTGTCTGTCGAATGTCAAGGTCTCGAAAATCAAAGCCTCTAAAGTTCCATATTCTTCGAAGTTCTTTTAAATTTTTAAAATTTCATGTCCTATACATAATTACATATTTTTTTATGTAATTTCTTGCGGACTCACATGATATATAATCTGATACCTAACAATCAAATCTATTTAACTTGTTGACTTACATAAATTAATTATTATTATTTTTTGGATAATTCGATTTTATTACCCAAATATCTGTATAAAAACAGCTTGTTCAAGAATACAAACAGTATCTACTTACAGCAGAACAGAATTCAGCTATTCAATACCCCAATGATTGCAAAGCATAGTATTAACACTATCATTCCTATTAATACTTCTACCCCTTAGTTGGATAGCAACAATGTGTTTTACAGCATAGAGTAATGCTTCAAAATTCCTTGAGCATCCCTGGAATAGCCTCTTGTTCCTCTCCTCCCAAACAGTGTAAATAAATGTTGTCCAAGCTAATTTCAAAATTGTCGTGAGCAAGGATCTACCTTTCCAAGCATCACAAGCCCAAGCTAAGTGATTTCCCCATGTACGTGATGTCCTTCGCATGCCATTGAGAATGATAACCGCATCCCATAGAGAAATAGCCAGAGGACATTGAATGAATAAATGATCTCTAGTTTCCATCGAGTCATTACAAAGCACACATTTGTCATCGATATCAAACCCAAAACGTTTCAGTCTGTCTTTAGTTGGGAGTCTGTCTAATAAGGCCATCCATGCAATAATACTAAACTTAGGAATATGGAGAGGGAACCAGATCGGTTTGTGCCACGCCACTTTTACCCCTTTGTTTCGAATCAGTAGCCAAATATCCTTAATTTTCTGCACACCAGATGTTAGCACATGGACAGCTTGGAGTCTCATTCTAAGTAAGCGTCGAAAGCTCCAAGTAGTATTAATAGAATCGTTCATATTCCAAAAATCGTTCATAAATCAATTATTACTCTAAGCCCACACCAACTTAATACCAATACTAAAGGTTGTATATAAATCACCATGCAAAGCTCAACATGAGATCTCTTTTGAACTCTCTATGAGATTTTCTCTCATATCTCTAATCTCGATTACCCTGTAAAATCATCGGTTGTGACTCTCCACCCAAACGAAAAGGTGTATAAGACTCAAATCTTGACATTTATTAAAGTATGTCAACCTATAAATATCAATTATCATCTTAGACCCGACCCCAACAATAAAAATGATGTATATAAATTATTATATAAGATTTAACATGAGATGTCTCTCGAATTGTCTCCGAATTTTTTCGTATCTCTCATCTCCATAGGCTCATAAAATCACTAACTACTAATATTCATGTAAACGAAATTATACAAAAATGGGAACAAGACTCAAATCTTGGAATTTGTTATCAACTCATGTAAAAAAATCTAAATTTTACAAAACGGTTTCATCCATCCAAAATTGGGACAAGATAATGCAAACCAGTTGTATTAGTTTAAACAAATGAGCTCCATCATGAAAGTTCATTTATATAACAGTACAAAGACGGAAAAGATAATTGAGAACTTGTTTACAAGTACATAAACAAAAACATCAATGACCTGCCAGCAATATTATTCTAGAAGGCAGATCAAGCTGGATTTTAGCCAATTCTTGGAGGCCTCTCAACTTTTCCTGAAGGGTCAAGATATAATCGAACCCTTCCCCGGTTAAAATCCATGGTAACAAAAGAATTAGCTTGGACCACCTGAATTTGAACCCTCGGCATGTCTTCCTTGATCTTTTTCTCTGCTTCTTCAGGAGTGTGGCCTATTAATTCCGGCCATTCCATTTTTGGTGCAGTGCTTGATCCAGGCAAAATCCCGTAAGTTCCTGCATTTAACCCTGTAATTTAGTTGACTAACGGTGATCATGTATATAATTTTATGAGGAGCAAACAACTTACTTGGTAAAATTGGTGCATCAACAGGCTGTTTATCAGAGGATTCGGTTTGCTGGTTGTCAGCCATGGTAAAACAATGGTGGTTTTGGTGCCTTATAAAGTGGAACTTAGTTTGAATCTCATCTTTCTTTTATTGACTTTATTAAAGTTTCAATCTTTGGTTCTGCCAAATGGAGAGTTTTCCAATAACTCGTGGCATGGGATTTGATAATTACTATGCAATGCACAACAAGAACGTCCCTTTCGTGTTAGGTCTGCTTGTAAATGTTGATTCTCTTAAGAGATCGATAGTTCATTAGGCCTCAAGTGCTGAGATTACTGGTTAATGGCCCAAAAATATGAACTTTAACAAGAATGTTATGATGTTCATTCTACCAAGTCTTACTTAATAATCATGTCCGTAAATTCATTGAATGATTTTAGTGATGAAAATGATACCATAACATGGTTGATCCAAAAATATCTGATGACGAGTATACATGTATTAGTAACATAAATTTCTTGAATATGATAGACACAAATAAAATTTCAATATAGATTATCATTAAAATAAGTAACTAATAGAAGAAAAAAAAAACGATAAACACACGCCCAAACTCAAATATAATGCAACCAATTTTTTTTAATCAAAACTGTCAAGCTCCATCATGAAAGTCCATTGATATAACTACACAAAGAAAAAACAATAATCGAAGAAACTTGACAGCCGAAGAACAATTTTCATGTACTTGAGTAAGAGCATCTAGGACCTGCTTGTAACATTTATTTTAGAACCCAAAAAGTTGGTTTCAGCCGGTTCTTGGAATCAACCCCTAACTGGTTAATAAATAATCGAACCCTTCTTTGATTAAAATCATTGAAAAGATAGGTACGAGGTGGGATCATTTGAATCTGGACTCCATACATAACTTTCTTAATCTTTCTCTCTGCTTCAGCTGAGGTGAAACCTACTAACTCAGGCCATTCCATGATTGGAAATTTGTTTAAAATGGATAAATTCATGTAAGTTCCTGCATCTAACACCCATGAATTCATCTACCATTAACCATCAAATTATAGTATGAAAAATTGTTTAATTTTGAAATTTATTCAAATCCTACACCCCAATGTTAAGAAAACAATTATTTTGATAACGGGTGATAAATAGATGGAAGCAAACAACTTACCAGGTAAAACTGATGTTGAATCTACGAATTCAACATGGTCGTCTATTGGCTACTAAGCAATCACAAAGTAATATTTTTGGGGAGACATCTTCTTTGATGATACTTTTGCCCACTTAAGAAATGGAACTCAATTTGAATGTAATCTCCTCAGACTGATTTTACTATATATAGATCTCAGGATAGAGATTTTAATTAAATGGAGAGATTTATGGATGAAAGATATCCGGAGAAAGATTTTAGGATGACAAAATCATTTAATTTAACAAACAAAGAGATTTCAGGATAATAAAAATATTATACAATTAGTAAGAAAATAATTTTATTATTTAATTTTGTGGGAGGAAAAGATTTCAAGGTGACAAACTTGTTTAATTTACCATATGCTTATTTAATCATCACATGGTCTTGGCCCAACCATTTGACCTCTATATCCGCCACGTTTGCATTTGCTTTTCACTTCTTCAGGACTGTATTGTATGCAAATAGACCACGTGATGCCATCTTGTCTCAAAAAACCTATTTAAAAGAATTACTTCATAAAGCTCACATTGCTGACTGTAAGGCTGTGTACACTCCAATTGTTGTGGTTCCTAAACTTTGTCATGGTCAAGAGGAGGATTTAAAGGATTTTTATCAGTATAGAAGCATTGTAGGTACTCTACAATATATTTGTTATACTCATCCATATATTGCTTTCTTAGTCAATAAAGTTGCCCAGTACATGCAACAGCCTCAACATGCCATTGACTTGTCTTTAAAAGAATATTCGATATTTGACAAACACTTTGGATTAGGTTCTTCGATTTTCTCCTCAACAGACTGCAAAGATGACTGTCATTGGATTCTCTAATGCAGAGTAGGGTAGTGATCTTGATGACATAAGGTCAATCTCATGGTAGTGTATGTCAACCTTATTAAGTATAATATGGAAACCTAGCTTATCTAGCTGGTGTTAGTTGTGCAGTTACGTTAGTTAGGAGTTGTTGTAACGCTTCCTTCTGCAACCTAAGGCTTGATTTCTTGTAATTTAGGTTGTATAAATAACCCTAGCTCAGGCTTGTAATACACAAAGTTTTGATTCATAAAATAATACTTTCAGTTCAGAGTTAGTTTCTTATTATGGTATCAATCGCTGGTTGATCTTGGAACCTTTTTTCTTCTTTTGTTCTTATGGTTTGGCTTTTTAATGGCTGGTTAGAGTCTTGATTTTTCTGAGGCATCCAAGAAACAGGATGTTTACCAATAAGAGAATTAATCTTGTGCTTGATGAAGCTAATTTCCTCCTGTGGAAGCAACATGTGCTTCTCACTGTTGGAAGCCATCCTTTGGAGTGGTTACTCAATGGAGAGCTTCCAATCCCACCGGAAAGAGTTCTTGATAATGAAGGCAACCTCATTCTCAACGAGGATTTTGAGATTTTTGTCGCCCAAGACAGAGTTTTGGCTTCCTGATTACTGTCCACCATGAGTGACCATCTCTTGCCTCAGATTGTTGGTGCCAAGTCTGCAGAAGAGGTCTGGGCCACTGTTTTGAAGTTCTTTTCCAATCGCTCAACAATGAGTGTTTTGGGGCTTTACTGAAAGTTAAGATCTATCAAAAAAAGTGAAGAAAGCTTGAGGTCATATCTTACTTCGATTAAAGAAATTTGTGATGCTTTGGAAGCATGTGGGAGTGCCATATCTGATATTGATCAAAAAACAACAATCTTGAAATTTGTGAATGGTAGTTATTAGTACGAGCAAATAATTTTTCTCTGGATCGGGTGCGGTCTGTGTTGATAGATGCAGAAGCTCAGCTGAAAGGGTTTAATAATCACTTGTCTCTTCCTATGAGTGCTAATGTGGCTCATATACAGCATAACAATCAAGGAACTGGGCGTGGTACTCAATATCATAATCAACAGTAGTACAATGGAGGAAGATCGGGCGGTGCTCGAGGACGTGGGCGTGCCAGGCTACAATGTCAGCTCTGTGGGAAAACTGGGTACTCAGTGGATCGCTGTTGGTATCGCTTCTACCAAACGTTTTCTGGGGTGTTGGCTAATAAGCATGAGGTTCTTAGTGCTCAAGCTGCTGTTCTTGATGGTGAATGCTATGCTTGCAGTAGTGGCGGTCATTCTCAGGCTCATGTTGTTGCATCAACCTCAGATAATTGGGTTGTAGATTCTGGGGCAACTTATCATGTTACCCCAGATGCAACTAAACTGGTAAATGGGTCAGACTATTCAGGACCCGGTAAGTTAGTTGTGGGCAATGGAAGTTGTTTAAGCATTTGTACAACTGGTAGCTCTAAACTTGCAACTGATTCACAGGTATTGTTTCTTAATGATTTACTTCTTGTACCTTCTGTTACTAAAAATCTATTGTCTGTCTCGAAGTTTTCTAGAGAAAATGTTGTGTTTTTCAAGTTTCATGCGAAGCATTGATTGGTGAAAGATGAAGGGACTGCTCGTGTGCTGTTGCAAGGGCAAGAAAACGGAGGGTTATATCAGTTTGCTGCAAAACGGGAGAGTAGCAGTCAACAATAATCACTTGTAGTGAATTATATGACTTGTGGCACGAAAGACTTGGGCATCCTTCCCATGCCACTTTGGTGCAAGCTGTTTGGACTGTCGGCGCATCCCATGGCGTAACGGAAACAAAACTCGACGGTCTCACCAGCGATCCATGTACGAAAACTGAAATCGGGGAGAAGGGATGCGAATACTTACAACGGGTTCCTTGAAAAACAGCAAGGACAATAGTGAATACTGGTGGTGTAGATCGGTTAGAATCGTAAGCCTCCACGAAATCACGTCTCGGCCTCTACTCAGTTCACTCGATTGAGAGCAATATTTTTCTTCCCCAAAATAGTTTTAAGAGAAAAACAGCTAAAGGTTTTGTGTGTGTTCTAAAACGGCTGCTAGACCTAACACACCCTTTTATAGCCAAGTTACCCTAATCATATTAGAGTTTTATTATTTCAAATTAATTAAATCTATATTTAATTAATTGAAATTTAATAATCCTTTTATATCCAAGTTACCCTAATCATATTAGGGATTTTATTATTTCAAATTAATTAAATCTATATTTAATTAATTGAAATTAAATATTCGGGATTATTAAAATATATATTTAATTAACTCTAGATATATATTTTAGTGACGTACAACAAATTGTACATCTTTGCTCGTTTCAATCCTAGGGTGTGACATTGTAGGTTCTTGTAACGTTAGCAGTAATTATTAGAACAATTCTAATATTACATACAATGAGTGACATCTAGCAATATATCATTGTCACCTAAGTTACAAGAAAATATGATTCGACATATCATCTTGGTGATTAACTCTTTTATGTATTACATCCTTATGTCCTTTATATCTAGAATAGGAACAAGTCTTAGAATAGTCACACTTGTATAGCCCATATATTGTTTCTTGATATCTAGAGTAGACTGTAATTAACGAATAGTTTATGATATCTCATATCAACTTATTCGAGCATGACCATGCGTTTCTAGTCTTACTCAATCAAGTGGCCTGTGATATATTTCATATTATGTAGGAATGACAAATTCTATCTTAATCATACACACCCACTACATATATTGAGATATATTCAATAACAGTCTTTATAGAGCAACCAGTTACGAAGCTTGTTTAGCTGCATCAAAATATACAACAATATATGTTGGGATAATATTGATCTCAAGTCTGAGGATCATACATATAGTCATCACCATGAGCAATATTATGACTGTCACATAATAATCCAAGACATATGCTCATGGTCTGGTCAATCCAATACATTGTTCTCTAACAATATAATCATGTATCAATTCTGACATCTCTATGTCAATGACAACTCGTTGTCATCAATCAATAACGTGTTAGTCTTAAGCGTATTATTATTGTCTA